ATTTCCCGCGACGTCGCCCGCGTGGGGGCGAATCGACTGGCCACCCACGGCGGCCACCCCCCTGGCGCCCCCACCCCAACCGCCACGCAGGCGGCCATCAAAGTCATGATCGTCTCTGCCTCCTCGAGAGGGAACTGGAGGAGGCGATCCAACCAGGCGGAATGCCGCGCCTGAGCGGTGATTAGGGAGGCAAGCAGGCGGCCGGGATCGCGACTCCCCAATGCAGCATACCACCAGGAAAAATCGAGGGGAGACGATGAGGGGGTGGCTACGGCCTCACGCGGAAGACGCAACGGGAAGAACTTTCCCTGATGCCGAACCGCGAAGGATCGACCGGAAGTGACCAGAGATGTCAGGCGTTGAGCCCCACGCTGGTCCACAAGATTGCTTACAACGGGTGTGTCCACATGAGTACTAGAGGTCAATGGGGAGAGTGGACGATCGCTGGGCGTTTGGACATCCACCGTTGTCAAGATATATCGAACCGCACGACTCCGAAGCGCTATACGGCCCCGGCGCATCGGTCAAATACCCCAGAAAACGATTCCCTAATGTTAACCCTGTAAATCCTTGGTGCTGATACCTAACATAAGCATCATCGAACGAATAGCAATAATAAAAGGTGAAAAAAATGGGAAAGGTTATGATGCAAAACGGAAAAAGTACCATACAAAAAAATATACGATAGTCAAAGCAATCAAAAAATAGGTCAGTAGCTAAACTTTCAAATCGCGCAAGAGACAAGAAGGAATTATAAAAAAACGAGTATATATGACCCCTTAGCTTAAAACTGTATTAGTTAGTCTGATTTAAAAGCTTAATTACTGATTAATTGTCTAATGATACAAAGAAATGTGAAAGCTCACTTTTCTTAGCTCAAGCCTCGCTCCCCAAGGAGAAAAAAACACCACCTATATCAAACACGGCCGAGCATCACTAGAAGCTGCTGAGGAGCCAGCGTCCAACGTCTTGCTCGCTCCACCACAGTCCGAGCCGCATTAAGATCCTTCGCAACTTCCCGCTCAAAGGTAACAAAAGAAACCCAATCATCAGCATTAAATCTTTCCACAGTATGGCGAGACGCTTTAACCTCCCGAACATCCTTTGTAACGCCATCATATAAAAGGGGAATGAAATCCTCTGGGTGCTTTGTGTGTTGGTAGATATTGACAACCCGCTCGTGTGTTGCTCGCGCATGATTCAATGCGTCCTCTTTTTCACTTTTACTCGCTACGTCCTGCGAGTAAAAGAGAACCAGGGCCTCTAGAAAGGGCAGCATCACGTGTACAAGACAGAATCGAGGGAGCGGCTGGCAGCGATCCAACTGACCATTTGGTGGACGCAGCAGATCACGCACTTCGGAGAAAAGCATCTGCACATCGGTTTTCAAAGAGGCCTTTTCCGCACCACACATCCACGAAAGCATGTCCTCCCGTGTGAACCGCTTAAGACCGGTAAATGTGTGAAAGCGACTTCGGACAAGTGTGCAAATCCCGGTCGCTCGTTCCCACTGCTCCGCACGACTGAGTGAAGCGTAAGTCATCCCAGCAATAAAATTTAGCCCCGCCTCAACGAAGCTTCTGAAGCTCAATGATGAGTCGCGTCTATTATCATTTTCGTCATCGTCGTCATCATCACTGTCCTTCTTGGTCTCACCAAAAGAAGACACCCGTGAATGTAGCATTTCCAATGCGCTGAAAAGTCGCCACACACTGAGTGGAGTCGTCTGACTATCCCTAAAGGAAAGAGCTTGTTTACGCGATAAAAGGCACAAAGTGCGGTCACCAGAGTCGTTTGTTTTCGGCCCGCTTGAACCAGATGAGCTCGGTAGCAGACGATACCGAATGAGAAAGTCCTCGATTGCCTTTCGCTGCAACGCGGCGACGGCGCCAGTGGTCTTTGTGGTCTTGGAACCCTTCTGCCGCTCACGCTCCTCCAGCCGAAGCCAGAGCAAAAAGCGATCCAAGGCATCCGCATCGAGCGCCTCGGAAGCGGTCTGAGATCCTTGAGCGCCTATCAGAGACGACCAAAGCGCAGCGCGATCCTCGACGGCGATGAGATCGCTTAACAAACCGGTTGGCCAACGCAGCTTGACGGAATCGCCCTTCCGCTTCCCTAAATGCGCTTTGGTCGTCTTAGAGGGTGAAGTCGCACCGACCCCTAAAGTATCCTGGACCAGCCGCTCAAGAATCTGAACACGATTTCGTGCATACACTACATACGTTTCGGTCTCCTGTTCATTGAGTCGCTCAACGTTCAAGAGCCACCGAACTGCATCCACCACGTTGACAGTTTGCGTATTCAAGAGTTTTAAGCAAATTCGTGAGACCCCATGGCCACAGTGCCCCTTGATCGCATCCAGTAACTCATGGGCTGCGTTACAAAGCAATTGCCCAACCGCATCGGAGTTACCAGTCATATTCATAATGCACCCCGGTTTTTGGTCAGCAAGCGTGAATACGGTGGCAAGAGATTTCATCGTCGCAGTGCGGCGGGTTTCTGGGGAAGGTCTTCGAGCAGACCCTTCATTATCCACAAATGTGGCGCTGTCTACGAGAACGCTGCGGTACCCATTTACTAAGATATGATCCACCATAATAAAGGGCTTCAGAACAGCCGATAGTCCTCCCTCCTGCCACTCTGTACGCACTCGCTGTGTGGTGTGGTCGCTTCCCAAAACCTCAAGCATTCTATGCTGTCCGTCGTTGAGAATCGTGAGGATCAGGTCCCTAGTAAACGAAAACTCACCCGCGGTAGTCAATAACTGCGTAACCAAAGTAGGGCTAAACGCAGGGCCTTGAAGCGCTTCATCCACCACAACTTTACAAAGTTCAAGGTCAAGCACAATCTTAGACAAGTGCTCATCTTCTGCTCGCATTTGATCAGAGATTCGCAGTTCAGTCCCTTTATCATGGTTCATCTGCCCACCAGTGCCGCCCACGTCTGTTACGGAGCTGTGTGAAATTTCCTTCCTGAATTTCTTCGATTGCTTCTGATCCACATACTCCTCGATGAATCGTCTCAAGGAGCGGCTAATGAAGTGTAACTCAATCCTCAATCCTGCCGTCCACACCACCGGATCTGCAGTCATCGTCAGTAAGGCCCGTTGGATGATAGAGCGGGCGTTGTGTACGTTGTTTAACCCCATAGCTTCCCAAAGCGCCGCCTCCACCCACAAATCGCTTCGGGTCGGATACTTAATCATGAGCTCAGCATACAGCTTGCTGAGTGAACCATGTCGATGCTGGTGCTTCAGGAATGTGATAAACTCCTTTCGGATAGATTCCCATTCGGATTTTTTCTTAAGATGCTTCAGGCCGACGCGATAAATGTACTCAATGCGCTCTAAGATAGCCCAACGATGCTTTAATTCGACCTTTGTAGACTCACAGTACGCCCGTAGACGCTGCTCAAGGTCAAGCTCGTAACGCACGGCGTCCCGCACATCAAGGAGCAGCAAGGGCTTTGCAACCAAACGGTACTCCCAGTGTCGCCGCTGCCGCACAACTTTCCGAAGCTCGTCGCGGTTTAGGAACCCGCTAGTAAAGTATTCATCGATGGAGGGGTTAAGCTTTTCGATCCGCGTCTCAATCGCATGCACACGGGCCATTGTTACCCTGTAAACTCAAAACTTTCTTCAAAAAAAATATATCAACTAAGTGATGAGTCCTTCGTACTTTTGATTGATTATGTGTACGCGCGTCCCAGTATATCAATCGAAATACGTATGGGAGTACGCGTTTACTCACGTGATGTAACGGTGGCTCCAAGGAAACTAAAAATAACTATTCCACAAATGGTAGCCTCAGGCTCAGGAACAGATTACGCGTCAGTGTCTGAACTCGGGAATACAGGGAATGAATATTTTGCCTCAGTTCTGTGGATGTGTGAATAATAGAAAAAAGATGAACAAAAAACATGATTTTGTAATTCAAGCATATACCTTCCGGATGTGTTTCAGAATTCGAATTGAAAAGCCCACTTGCTTAGTAACAATCAATAGGAACTACACATTGAGCCGCAACCCAAACGACGGATAACTGAAGAAGCTCTGCTGCAGCCGGCTTCTTATGAATATTTTAAAATTCACATACTCATGACAAGCTTAAACCAGAGAACTCCTACCGCGCTTTTCAATAATCGTAAGTAAAAGCAAATGAAACAAAAAAGCAAATCCGTCCGATCAATATCAAAAAAAAATATTGACGGCCTCGTAATATGTGTCCTGTCTACATCTAGAATGCGTTTAGACGTCAATGATGGCCTCGTGCCTCCTTTGGGCTCACCTAATCCTCCCGTTACCCTAGTCAAACAATGCAGAGTAGGCTATTTCCAGATATCAGAAAGATCATTGTCAAGAAAAGGCGTCACTTTACTGCCGTGCCGACGTCGAAGATCCTCATAATGCTTTGCCTCTTGTTCACGCCTTTCACGCTTCCTTTTCTCCATAGGGGTCTCAGGTCTTTCCTGTCGGATGGTGCCATCAGCTTCAGAAACACCAGGGGGTGCCTCGGCTCGCCCAGTGCCCTTTGCGCAGTGCTCTCCCCCATCTGCACTGGTGTAATACTCCGGGTTAAAATTCCCGGCCCCAAAATCAGCGTCACCGTTGAAGTGGCCCATAGAGCCAAAGCCGCCTTCCGGGGCTTTTCCACCCTGTCTGCCGGGATACTTCATTGCAGTATCCTTCATCTTTTCCATCGCGCGTCGTAACTTAATGTTTTCAAGTGACTTACGAAACATGTTGAGGCTTTCGGCGTCCTTTTCACCGATCGCCTTATCAAAAAGCGAACGCACTTCAGAGTTCAAATCGGTATCCCACACATCACGTGTCTTGAAGTCCTCGTGATCCGCATAGATGCCTGTTGGGCTGCAGTCCTTTCGTTCACCAGATACCTCCGGCTTTCCTGTAGCCGAGTTCGTATCAAAAACGGCGATATCACCCGGACGATCACCATAAGTCTTAGACGTGTTCATGTCATACCCCAAGGCCGTCTCTTGGGTCTCCTGGTTAAACATACCACTGCGGCCAAAGACCTGAGTTGTCAGAAAATCCTCCTCTGTCATCCACTTCTCATCCATATGCCAAAGTGAGATGGGAACCGGAATGTGCCTTGCTATGCGGGAGTGGTCTAGATCCCAATCCTTATTCTCTTCAGGCTCCTTTCCCTCTTCACGACGACGCGCCTCGAATACTGTCTCTTCCGGAACCTGCCGAGGTGGGGGACTCTTCATCTGTTTTTCGACCTCTAGGAGGAATTCGAAGATATCGCTTGAATACGTGCACATCGCGGTGCCCGCAAGCTCCTTACAATTACTCTCTTCGTGCACCGTAGCCGTTAGCATACCGACACACTTGCCGTTTCGCATAACGACGGAGCCGCACATTCCCATCTGAACCCGACCTCGTTCTTCACCCTCGATAGAGGTGGTGTCGATGAAGAAGTGCTCCCGGGTGACGGCATGCACACGCGCACGTATCCCGGTCGGGATCATCAGTGGCTCCGGCGCCTTCTCCTCGTCAAAGAGCGACTCATGTGCGGACATCCCGTACACCCACACGTGATCCCCAACCTGAAGCTTTTCCAGGATCTCTAACCGGGGACGCATGATGAGGCCCTCGTTTTGCATCCAAAGCATCTTCATCTCCCCACTCCGCTTCAGGTTCTGCTCGGGGTGGACCACGCACAAATCCAGTCGCGGGTTGTTGTGGACGTAGACGTGTTGATTGGAGGTGAAGTGCTTATGCACGGCGGTGCCCTGGAGTGAGACGAGCCGCACCTGTGTCATCGTGTCCGCGAGGGTGATGCGGGAGACGAAGCGGGTGGGGCCCTCTGTGGGGTAGTAGTTAGGGTAATCCCACGGGCACACGACGTGCGCGCAGGTCACGATGTGCGTCCAGTGTCCACTGTACTGCGAGAAGTTCGGCCCCCGTGTCTGGCCCATCCAGTCGAGCACGAAGCAGGACGCATCCATGAGGCGCCGCCAGCGGTCCGTCTCCTTGTGTCGCCATTTAAACCGCGTCTGGATGGCCATCGCGTGCGGCTGGAAGCGGACCAAACATCGACGCGTGGCGTAAATCATACCTATTCCTGTGATGGTCTAAGGCTAAGCAAAGCAAAGGTGGATGATAACACACCAGAGGGTATCCTTGCGTATGGACAATGTCCCCACCAAATCACAAACATACCACAAGTGCTCTAAGTTGAAGTTGTTTTGTGGAAAAGAAAGCAAAGAGATTACGGAATGGAATCGATATCTTGTTAGTTCAGTTCTAAAATTCACATTACAATGACACCCTCTCAGAGCTCAAAAAGCAACCTAAACTCCGATGGCCAAGTTCCCAGAGGGAATTAAAACTGAATGATAAGACAGAGGTAAAGTGGAATACCAAACACAGCGTTAGTAGTAACAATAATAAGCCGTGCAAAACAACCATTCGATTGACAATGAATATTAGAGCATCAATATGCAGGATCAGCCTCGACGCAATAATACCACCGCCCGAGGACAGAGGCTAGGAATCTCGCCGATCGTAGTAACCGCGGGCACCCACTGAAGCTCTGACGGTGGGAAACCGGTCACCAACTTTAGCTTCTCCCCATCATTCTCCTCAAGGGAGGTCGCAAAGTCAAGAATGCAATCGACGTGGTCGGTACGAAAAAAACAACGCGTCTTTTGCTTCCCGCTCAGAGTCTTGAGGCTTATAAAAACAATCAAACTCGGGTCCGTGTTCTCAGGCGGCTCAGTGGGAAGGCGCGCCATAGCCTGAGCCCGCCGCTCCTGACGGAGCCTTGCATTTTCCATCTCTTCACGCTGCCGCTGCGCCGCTTGTGTCGCCTCCTCCAGCCGCTGTGCAGCCTCTCGCGCGACGCGCTCTTCGTCAGCCCGCGCCGCCTCCTCGCGCATCCTTTCTTCTTCAGCAAGCCTTTCTAGCCGCTTAATGTCGGCTTTCTCCATTTCCGATGTGGCCTCCTCATCTTTCTGTCGGATACGCTCTCGCTCCTTGCGCTCAAAACGCAGGCTAATCTCCTCAGCAACAATGCAATCCCACATGCTCGTGCACACCCGCCATTCCTCAAGGAACTTGTCCTTCGTATACAGTCCCTGGAGCTTCATTACAACAGTGCCCTTGAAATAAACCACTACGGAGGGGTAGGTCATTATTCCCAGCTCAATGGAAAGATTATGGCCCTCCCTTTCCATGACGGAACTACCGTATAGGATGCTGTTCTCAACAAAATGTGCAATGACTTCGTCTTTGCCAAGAATAGACTTCACAAACGCCTTGGTATCCTCGTGAGTTGGACAATGTAGATAGATCACGAAATACTTAGTATCAGATTGGGCTTTTTCCCTTGCCTCTGTCAGAGAACCCTCAAAAAATGGAATATAGACACCATATGAAGACTTGATATCCTGCGTTAACGTTTTCATAGCTTCAGAACAAACTCCTCCCTCCTAAAAATGAAAAAGAAAAACTATAGAGATAGTTTCCTAATGGGAAAAAAATATCACACATTCGGTAAAAGGAAAGTCGCGAGTAAAATACTGGAGAAATTAACACTTTTATTCTTCTTTGCATGCTTATTATCGAAAATAAATATTCTCAATAATAAAAGTAACAAGATTGGGCTTCTTTGTACAGTAGCGTTGTATCCTCTTCGAGACGTGGCTCCGTCACCACTCTATCGAATAGTAGCAAGAAAAATATGACCTGCACTCAGCAGCAGAGACCAATAAGTGTCAAAAATCCCCCATTGTAAACAAAACTAGTAAACTAATGGTGAAGCATATGGATGCACAATTTCTATCATTTAATAAAGAAAAGCCAAACCATGATGGAATCGTTAGTGATCCCGCTTTGCATGCGGCTAGTCCGCTACTCCCCCTTCCCTTAAGTAAGAGATTGGTACTGTTCTCCTTGTGTAGAGGTTCATGCATTTTTTTGGCTCTCAGCGAGTATTTTAGAAGCTATAAAATCGGGAGGGATGTCTATTGTTGGCCCATACGCATCGTAGGGCAAAACCGATTTTTTGTCCTCAATTTTGATATTATCTTTGTGCGCTTCATCCTTCATGGCGCACAAGTAGGAGTGGTAGTCAAATTGTTTGGGACGCTTGTTAAAGGTCTCAACCCAGGTCTCATACAAATTCTGGAGAGTGTAGTACTTCAAAAGCATCTGGGTTATGAAGATACAATCGGTGCGCACAAATACCGTGTCCTTGATCTCACAACGGACCAAAACGATATTCTTGGATCGCGCCAACTCGGTGAAAAACTGAATCGTCATATGGATCTGAGTGTCGTCTTGCTTTGTTTGCCATTCCCCTAGAGGTGCAACACCCACAAGATCATCCTTAAAGTTCGTGACCACGTTAAAGAGTCCTTTTTCACGAAAAACAGGAATCACAAAGTAAGGGTTTTGTCGTAGTCGAGGTTCCAAAGCATTATAAGCTGCACTTGTGATAACCCGGCCCCAGTACTGCATAAACTGTGAATGTTGGAGATTCCAGATTGTCGCAACTTGCTGTACGCTTGCCGCCTCAAAGAGACTAAGCTTGACGATTTCATCGAGTGATTTCCGCCCAGGGCGTTTAAGAATACCCCATAGCGGTGATGATAGTCGTATCATTCAAAAAAAAAAACTGCAATAACAAAACATAATGCATGAAAGCAATGGAAGGAGGGAATATTCGACTCATCTAGGTAATATTTTCTATTAACCAAAGCAATTAAGATAAAATAGAAAAATACGCCCTATAGCATGGGGCTACAAATTTCAGTTTTATGAAAGTGCTATTTTCTCTAACAATAAACAGAAAATGGAAGTGTGTCTAAATACTTAGGATAAAGTATAAGAAATCTATACGCCGATTATATATATATATATATATATATATATTTAAAGACTAGGTTCCTTCCCACCAGCCGTCGATTCTAGTCCTCCCAATAAGAAAGCATGGCCAAAATCTAATATGCAATTGAGCAACATTCAAGAATTTTTGTAGAGGCCGGGTCTATATCAGAAAAAAAAAGGAGGGAACGCGCGAATCCCCGACTCAGCGAAAAACAGCGCGACGCGATGAAGCATAATCCCCTACATACCGCTGAATAGGAGACTTTAATGTTTGTCGAAATTGGCTGCTAACGGTGGGGGTTCGATACAGTCGCTCATGCTGAACGCTTGAGCACCTCGAGGAGCCGGACGAACCGCACTGGCTAAGTCGTTCCTCGCTGCGGGAGCTGCCTTTGCGGGCGGAACGGCCTCCGGTACGGCCGTCCGGGGCCGGTGCCTCCCCTCCACCCCCTCTTTCCCCCCTTCGCCCTCCTCTGGACGTCGATCGCCGCTGCGGGGATCGCCGAGGGGGCGCAGGAGGGGTGTCGAAGCGGGTAGGCCGTCGTCCTATCGCCTTGGCGGATCCGCTGCTGCCGACGCTGCCAACCCGCCTGGAGGTACTTCCGCGCGGTGGAGTGGGGAGAAGCCACCGCCGCGGCTGCGATCCCGCCGCGTCCTTCCCCACGTGAGATCGCGATCGAGAGCGCCGCGACGGATTCCCGCGCTCCACCGCGAGCGCGTGCAGCGCGGCGTCACGTTCCTCTTCGACCATGCGCAATTTCATCCGCAACTCGGTGTTCTTGGCGCGTAGTTTTTCCACCTCGGAGGTGGCGTTGACGTGGGACTGAAAGTCCTCACACAGGCGCTGCATCTCCAGCATCTTTTCCTTGCTGAGTCGTATCAGCGCTTCGTTTTCACGCTTTAGCTTGCTGTTCGCGTTGCGTGCCTTTTCCAGTGAGTGAAGTGCCTCGCTCAAACTACGTTCTAATACGCCAGGAGAGGAGGCACGAGCCAAATGAAGGGCGGAGGGTCCGTTCATGGGGTCGGCAGGCGCCTCCACAGTCGATCCACCCCGCGCATTCTTCGTCGAAGCAAGCGATTGGGAATGTTCCCTATGCTGATCGTCGCCGCCTGGAATCCCACCTTGCGTGGACGACAATGGGATTGGAAACACCGCCCGTGTGAAGTCTACATCATAGTCCATGGTGAAAAAGCGCTGCGAAAAAATCTCCTCCGCTACGTCGCTGTTGACGCTAAGGTTGATTGTCGTATTCACCTCGTCAGCCACTTCCTCTTCCTTTGGTTCGTCCTTCTGGTGAGATGAGCCTTGCTGTTGTTGCTGGCGCCGACGTCGGATGTCAAGTCCAATGCGGCGTTTCATCTCAGCGCAGCTTTCCACGTAGAATTTCACACATGCCGTCCGTCCTATTAGAGCACGGTACATCATTTCAGAAAAATTTTTTAAAGATTTGCGCACACCCGCTGCCGTGGTTAGTTCCTGGACGTGACTTTCATCTAAGGAGGCAAAAAGGGACTCTGAGGCCGGCGGGGAAGTGGCTGTCGAGATAAACTCTCCCTCATCTCCAGGCCTCAACTCAACCGCAGAAGTTTGCACGGCAGACTGCTTCGGACGCACTTCTAGATTGAGGTGGCTCTTACCATCGGATTGGAAGTGCACAACGTACCTCCCGCATGGCGAAAACACACTGCACTCCATTAGAATACTTGAGGGGAGGGAGGGGAAGGAAGGGAGAAAGAATGAATGTAATAGCTTTAATAACAATATAACAAATCTGCTTTACTGACCCTATAAACCTTTGTTTGTTCCATGTATATCGTGACTAAACGCATTTGAAAAGAAAAGGAGGAGGGGTATGCCACCTACACGCATAATATATTCTTCAGCATGCACCGCTCATATTTAGTCGCCTTCAGGACCACAAGCGCGGAATAACAATGAAACCATGAGTAGCAATGGAAAAACAATAGAATTCTCAAAGCAAACAGTTCTTCCCTATCACCACTGGAGCTTAATCAGGGGCAAGAAATAGAAAGACGTTAAGTCGTCGAAGACATAGCATCAACGAGATCGGAAATGCTAAACACGGCACTGGTCTTCGCTTTCTGTGTGTTGCTACATATCCGTTCTATGGACTCGACCAAATAGTTATTCGTCTCGCCGACACGAAGACGCCTGGCTTCCTTCCAAATCTTATCATTGGGAAGTGCCAAGATGGATCCTACAGGCACACTTGCAGGGGGGAGCATATAAAGGCGGCGTGCCTGACCTTCCGCAGAAACCAACATGTTAGCCTGGCGAAGCAGGGTCTCGCTGACGGCTAAGTGCGTCGGAGGCAACCACACGGCGTGGGCGTGGAATAGACGTTCTTGCTCAAAGTAACGCAGCCACGTTTCGTAGCGCAATTGCAAGAACGCCGCTTTTAACGAAGGGCTGCTCTCTGCATCCTCAGCGCACTCGATAGGAAACGAAAGAGGGGCAGGTGAACCCCGAACTATTCGTCGACTCTCGGTATCTTCACCACTTGCCGACGATAGATGAGCTACAACTTTAGCCCATCGCCGCGCAGCCTCCGCCTCGACCTCGGAACTTAAAGTCTCTTCGAAGTTTGGGTTGGGGTAGAGCTCCACCTTCAAAATGCAATCAGGAGAACAATAGTAGGGATAGCTATGGACAATCACATTTGAAAGAGACGACGAGGAATGTCCACCTGGAGTGCTTGCAGAGCGAATGAATGGCTGTGCAGCGTGTGGATCCGGCGCTAAGACCAATGGGGTGTCATCCAAAACATTCCTCGCGCAACTAGTGTGGGTGAGAGAGGCGCAGTGCAGACAGCGTAATTGAGACCGCCCTTCGATATGAGTACCACACACGGTGCATTGGCAGTGAAAGCAGGAAGAATTACTACAGTGAGCGCATTGCATAATTTCACTTAAATGGCAATCCCAATAGTTAGAAATCTTACTGATACAAAATAACTTTATGGGGTTCAGATCTTAGGAATTCCTTGACTTCGTTCCAAATAATGTGGTCGTCATAATTAAAAATCCGAAGGCAGGAGACAATGAAATGGGCCAGAAGACTATCACCTCGGGAAGGGAAAAACGGATCAAGGATTTCATCACAGCCCATAGCCATAGCTATGCTCTTTTGCCTTGAAAAAGGTAACAAAAAAAAAATAGTATTCATTTTTTCTTACCGATAGCATCGGGGTAATCAGAGCACGGAACGTCAGATAGAAAGCATCGTTTGAGCAACACCAAAAAAAAGGCCATGTCCATCTTCCCTCAAAACGAGAGAGAATAACAGAAGCATTTGTCAACAACACGCTAAATAAAGTCATTCACCTTTGCCAGCATGTCTTCTAGACGTCTGCGCTCCATTTTTAGAAGCCCGGTCACTGCGATCGCAGGGAGACGGCTGAGGATAGCCATTTCGCCCTCCGTGACGCTCCCCTGCCGCATGGCGTGCAGCCATATTATGAAGAAGATTTGGAACTCACGACGGCGTTTGAAAAGGCGATTACGCGTTCTCGACCCCACATTCTCAAAATTGAGCGCAGGTTCAACCACGGCGTCGTCCATACCCTCCAGCGCTTCATTGTCTTTCCTAACGCGATAAGGGCGACGGCTTGGTGAAGGTGGATACAACGCGTCCAGCCTTTCCTTAACGCCGGGCACAACGAAAGCTTCACTCTCCCCACCTTGGAAAAGCTGCTCGTGCACGATGGAGACAACAGAACTGCTACCACCGTCATAAAGCATTCTACTAGATTCCTGCCGGGCAAAAGGAGAGCTTTCGAGATCGTTTCTGGATAGCTGATAGGCATGTTGTATGCACTCACACCATAATGATTGGCAGGAGCCTAACTCCGCATACGTCTGTGCGAGTGTCATCTGATTCTCAATGATACCTTGGTTCCACGCGACCATTCTGGTAACAATTCCCTTCTCACACTGTCGGTGCCAACGCTCGCGTTTGCGTAACTCCTCCAACAGTAGAGCGTAATACTCACCACGGTGTCCTACGACGTGATCCTCTGCGATATGGCGATGGTAGACCTGCACTAGGAGCTCGTAGTCCTCTTCACGATGCAAACACAAACGAGAAAGATCATTAGCCAAAATTGCAGCCACCGAATCCAGCATCAGCAATGTCTAAATCGAATTTCAATCGGTTGTACGCTAAAGGAAGAGGTGTGGGTAGCACTTTAGTGGACTTCTTGCTCCCCTAAGTGGCAAAAACACAATCCCGGAAAACTATGAGAAAGGTAAACCCACAAGCCTAAAAAGAGAAGGAGAAAAAAAAATCGCGTAAAAAAGGAAAGGCAAGACTCAATAGGACGGAACCGCTGAAGTGAAGGATTCATTATTCACTCGGGCATTCTATCCGAATACAAATAAATTTGATTTTTTTAATGATGTATTAATGAAACGAAAAATTAAACAGCTTTAGGGGAAAAAAATGGAAAGGTTTCCATCATATAAGCTGAAGTTGGGACCTAAATCCTCAGTGCTTTGAAAAGTCATTGAGGAAACAAAGAGAAGAAGTCTAGCAGGGTCGACACTTAGTTGTGCTTCTTGGTGGCATGGCGAAGGGCCTCCTCCAACTTGGCGCGGCGCTTCTTGGCGGCGCCAAAGCTGCCAAGGCGCTTCTTGCAGAACTTCAGCGCGCGCTTTTCCTTGCCTACGCGCAGCAACTCCTGAACACGCTTCTCCATCGGGTTAAGACCAACAAGATCAGAAATGATGGCCTTAACAGCACGAAGCTTCTTGTGCGGCAGTCCGTAGCGGTCGTTCGAGGTGGGCTGGCGGACACGACGGGTCGTGACGTGACCCTTGTTGAAGCCAGCAATAATTCCGGTGCGAGGTACAGGGGCGCTCATGGTGTAGAATTTTTCCCTTGAATAAAAAATAAGGAAGCAAAGCCAAATTGTAGCGTTTCATGTATAAAAAAATGGAGCATTTGATTCACTTAATATGTAGGACAGAAAGGCAAGAAATGGTGCCTACGCACTGTGGTTATCTTTCAATTAAATAAAAGTAGAAATCATTCGACCAGCATACCCATGAAAAGCATTCTTTATCGCTTGCGCAGGAAAACCATACGGTTGTTGCGGCGCCACGCGGCACGGTAGGAGGGGCGGAGCTTGGATGCCTTGTGGCCCTTGTGGTAGAGACCGCGGTGCTTGCGGCCGGCCGAGGTGAGGCCGCGCTGCTCGCGGTGCTTGTGGACGGCGTTCACGATCCAGTTGACGCGAGGATCACGCCGGATCGTCTTGCACATCGGGTCGACCGCGATGACTTCATACCACTTAAATGTAGAGTCCATGTTCACCCAGTAGGAGTTCAGCACGCGCAGGTTGCCGAAGCGCTTGCCCAGACGCTGCTCCGCGATTGCGCGGTTGTTCTTGTTGAGCTTCATCCCGAGGACGCCGCTGGTCTTGGGCTTGCCGTACGTGATGCCCTTGTGGACGGGGCGCTTACGACCACCACGGCGCACGCGCACGCGGAAGACGCAAAAGCCCTGCTTCGTCTTGTAGCCAAGCATGCGGGCCTTCTCCGGGCGCGTCGGGCGGCGCAGACGAACAATGGTGTGCTGATGACGGAACTCCCACGAGCGGATACGCTGAATGAAGCGCATCACATCGGAAGACTTCTTCTTCCATAGCTCGTTGATGTACATAAACGCTCCCATTTTCACTACACAATTATGCTGGGTCTTTAGGGTTTCAGAAAAAGATGATGAAGAAAGAGGAAAATATTCAGACCAAAATGAATCTATAAAGACCCACGGCAGCCACATTCTCTAGAGAAAATACAATCCATCATTACGTAAATAGAAAACATTAAGATTCAAATCGGTTAAAAACGAAATAATTTAAAACTCAATGCATATTATTTATTGATCAGAACTAATTTTCAAGTATTATTCCCTCACAAACTCAATGGTTTCGAAGGTTTCGCATACATGAATCTTGGAACTTAATTATAAAATGCTTCCAGCTCATCAAGGATAATTTTCCCTCAGAAATACAAAAAAGTGCTACCACAATGTAGCTACGACACATTTCATACAAATTAATCACTTCGAGGAAAGGCGCTCACGAATGGCGGCAACCTTGGCCTTGGCGGCGGCCTTCTTCTCCACGCCGCTGGACTTCTTCGAGCGAGAGTACTTCTTGAACGGCACACCCTCCTTCTTCGCCTTCTTCGGAAGAGTCTTCGTGGGGTCAGCGCGGATGGCAGCATATGCCTTCTTGTACATGCCCTCAATGCTCTCAGGAGCCACCTTCGCCGCAAGGTACTTCGAGAACTGGTTGATCTTTTCGTCAGGGTTTGAGCTCAGCTCTTCCTTCACCTGCTTCAGGTACTCCGCAACGTGCTTACCAAAGATACGGTCACGGTGCACCTTCGCGTCCAACGAGGACTTCTCCTTGTTGTAGCCAGGGAAGCGGTTCGGGCGATGCGGAACGGCGATGCCGCCGTCCACGGCTCCCTTCAGCACACCGAAAACGCGCGCACCAGTCGTCGTGCGAGCCAGACCGATGTCCAGGATCGCCTTGAACGGGAACTGGGCCTCGTCGTCGCCCTGGTCCTCCTTCTTCGTCCGCACCGCGGAGTAGCTGCCGTCGGCGTCCTTCACACCCTCGAACTTCTTGTCCAGACCAAGCTTCGCGAGGGTGCGGCGTGCAAGCAGAAGACCGGTCGCGTACGCGGCGGCGTAGTTGGTCAGACCGTGCTCAAGACCAAAGGCAGGCAGCTCGTGCGAGTACGCTGACATCAGCACCTTATCACCCACAATCTTCGCCTGCACAATCTGCGCGATGACGTCCTTGTTGGAGATGCGCACCACAAGACGGTACTTCGGCGAGCCGAACTTGGTCTTATCCTGCAGCACCATCTGGCGGCGTGCATAGTAGTCCGTCTTTCCCTCGCGGCGACGGCGGTACTGCACCTGGAAGCGCTTGAAGTACCCCTTGTTCTTGACAACCTTCACGAAGGGCATGCTTTATGTAAAGAAATGTTAATACTATGAAATGAAAAAAGATTCAATAAAGAGAAATGATTTTCTGCAGTTATATCATAATTACACTTTATGTATGCTGATTAATAAATCTTCTTTTTATTTATTCTAGCATTTGCATCATGGAAGCAAACGAAATTTCCATTCTTTCCACTATTGTTAGATTGTGCTATCGTAGTTTATTAGCAAAAAAAAGTAAGCATGATTTTTAATAATACATAAGTGAATTGCTGTATCACAAGTTGTGAGTATCAGTCTACATGTGAAGGTATATTTGAAATTTTATCCTTCATCGGAAATATTTAGCAAAAAATGTGAATCATAATAGATAGTTATAAGACCCAATGTATTTGGAATTCTGAAAATAAGCATATAATGTTATGAACAGGTTTCGGGTGCACATCTGCAATATTGGAACACGCTGTGTAAAAATTTCCTCAGAGGCTCGTCAGTAGTGATTTTTCGTAATTCGATCGCTGTTTCTTTTGCATCATAGTAGATAGTATCTGTTTTTGTTCCTCCAACTCTTGAAAAATTTTTTCAAAATCAGACTTTAGACGAACATTTTCCTCTATGGTTCGGGCCCAAAGAGTCTCAATCTTAGTAATATACTCAGCCGCGCTTGTGAATATCTCTTCCTCATTCATGTCACTACTACCCTCTGGAAAGTTATCACATAGTTTCTCTACTATATTGGAATCCAGCTTCTGCACGGTATCAACGTCTGCTCTAACTATCGCTACCGGTTTTAACACCTTTTCCACCTCGAAGTGCTTGTTGCACTCCGTAAAGACACGAGATAATAATCTCCAACGACCGCTGGTGGTCTTTTTTGGTAAGTGACAATCTTTTGGATTCCCCCCAAGGGAAGGAAGAAGTGTGAAGTGTCTAAGGCATGTCACCGCCGATGGAGCCCAGGCGTAATGAAGAAAAAGATCCGTTTTATAACGGATAAAAATCTGTTTGCAAAGCCTCGCCACACTCCACGCCACAAATTCATCTGTTCTGGTAAATCGGATATCATTCACGTCCGTTCCATGTTTGTCCACGATAATTACACAGCCTATATTGTCTATGGGCATTACAACAGCAGTTTTTACATGCAAAAAGCGACCGAATATTTTTTGCGTCGACTTCTGCACGGGGACGCGGCCCGCGCTCTTAGCTACAGAGTTAACCGCGCCATATGGTGCACCCTCACCGCACGACGTAGATCGGTCTGACAAATGTTGGGCTATGGGCTCCGCCTTAGAGCGGCTCAAATTTAATGCAACGCCAGTCTGCACTACCGTCGTGAGAGTATTAAGTGTGGCGTAGCTTACGGATTGGGGGAGCTTATTCTGCCCCGAAATATCTGCTACTCGAATTAAGAATTTTGGTGCATCCTCAGGGTGTGCTGCGGTGCTAGCTTCACTCGTATCACTAAGGTAAATCCCCCCGCAGCTGGCGCTCATTTGAGATAACGCGCTTTCTAGCAGCAGGTAAAGGTGATTCTGAATAATAGACGCAGCCTCGTGAGGACTTTGAGACGACCAAATATTCCTTCTCTTTTCGCTCCTGGTAGTAGAGGGTAAAGAAGAGCACAGACTCGTCTTTCGGCTGCAGGCCGAAGATCCCTTTGGTATCTTCTTGAGGATTGGCGCGTCTCGACGGCTCCAGCCTCCATGTAGAAATGTCTTCAGAGGTGATCCGGAACCGTCAAGGATTGGCTCGCCTCCCACGATTTCTTCTAAACCACGATTCCTACCTTTTTTCATAAAATATGCGTTGCCTCCCGCAGAGACTATCGGCTGAAGCCTATCTGACTCATCCTGTCGCCGCGTCACTGTCACTTTTGACCTGTATTTTTTTTTATTTTTCATGTGCTCGTAGAATTCGACAAAGCAAGCATCGATTCGCTTCTCAAGTTGATCACTGATTATACGTAGAAGGGAACCGACATCAGAAGAATTAATCTTGGAAGGAAACTCTAGGTGACCCATGTCTAGCTCAGCCCTATTTGCATGCTTCGGAGTGCCATCAGATCCAGCACTCAAAGACAGCAACGTGTGAAGATGTGCGGCTGAGGATAAAGTGCTTTGTGACAGAGACACACCACTTTTATCCAGTCTCTCATGTTCAAGGAAGTTTGCGATATGTCTTAGTGAGGCGAAGTGCTCCTTAATTTCAGTATCATCTAAAAGCATTCGTTACTTCGAGCTACTTGCGTGTACAAGGGAACTTAGCGTCGATGCATACATAAGTCTTCAAAGAAAAAGTCTGGATTAGGGAAAAATAAAACCACCCTCAAAAGAAGGTTCCTACACTTTCAAACAGAGAATTCTCGTTAGGTTAAGCATTAATCTTGTTTTCTGTTTTGTTAATAATATTCACTAAGTCACATATATGAAACCATTTTATTCGATAGAAGTGAAATTCCGACTCTTTAGATCATCCCACAGTGCAGAAGGGACTGCCTTGGATTAAAGTTCTCAAAGCCAAAATTGCCGCAACGTTGCAAAGAAAGACAAGCAAAAACACGTGCTTTCTTGTGGAATGTATTTATGTAAGGCATCGATAAAAAATACACACATATTAGAAGGGTGAGGAAAACTCAGAGGAACGCAACATCTGTACGCGCACCACGCTCGATCGCAGTGCTCTAACGCATTTACTCTTCCTTCACTCACTGCTAATGTTCTATTGAACATGAAAGAAACTTCAGAAGATCTTTGAATAAAAAGCATTTTTGAAGTAGGCTCCTCACGAAAAAAAAAGGGTCTGCTACCCCTTTCAGGGGAGGCATTTACTTACACAATATCTTCTTCTTGAGGAAAATTCAAGATTGGATCCTGATCAAACATTATTTGCATGCCATGTTGGTATAAGTATTCATAGAACATCGCTAATCTGAGTCAACCCTGTAAACCTCTCTTGCCACACCTTGTGAATAGTATTGAAACGAAATAAGCCAAGTTAATGTGAGTCGTCGGAAAAAGATAGTTATCGCCGCTTTCCAAATCTCAAAAGGTATCACGAAGATCAAGTATAAGGAAGAGAATGACGATAGGACTTTGATTCGCGCCTAAATTAGATCCAATGTGAAGAACCTATCATTAAAAATTATGATGAAAAATATATATCCTATAAATGTTTTTCTCTATGTTTTATAAGATCGAATACATGATTTCTGAAAAGAAAATAGACTATCCGGGGACTACATTTACTGTGAAATCAACAACAATGGCTGAAGTTAACGAATTTCTTTAGACCGGAATAAGGGAGAAATTGAGAAGGGATGAAAGATACAAGTTTGTACTAACTTGTTTAACACAAGCCATAAAAAAAAAACATGCAAAAAAAAAGAACTATAAAACGTAATTCTTCTGAATATTCAAACATGATCACATTTGATCTAAATACAGACCTTCAAAAATTAGACAACTTTTCGGATGTGTTTGAGAGAAATAAACACATACATACACAGAAAAAGATTCCATCACAACCTTAACCTGAAGCAATTCACTACTTCCTATACCCAAGATCAATATTAAGCACCGACAAAAAAGAAATTCAAATTATATTTTAAAAAGGTTCTTGGACACCAGTAACAATCGAAAAACAGGGATCACGATATTTTTCTTAATTCCTTCAACTAGGCATTTTTGTATTTGTTGAACCGTTACACATATCAACTCTAGGAAATCTAATCAATCATCCTCTTCTTTCTGAAATACGACTTGAGGTGGCGCAATTGAAAGTAGGAGAACACCAAAAATATTATAATAACAAAGACCGAGATCCACACCACCTTTGATGTCATGTGCTCGTTAGTGGATCGCATTTCTGCTTCCTTTTCCTTAAAATACAAATATTCATTGTGAATGCCGAAAATGGTATATTCTATCTTACGAAGCTGATCCTCGATAGGCTTGAGTTTTGACGTTGGGTCGTTCTCAACCGATTCCGATAATTCGTTATCCATCTTAAGGGTGACGACCCGTTCCAACGGTGCCCCATTGTCATATCTTTCCACTTTTGATAAGAAGCACAAATGAAAATTACCACCCACGGAGTTATACGACTGATGGAATGCCTCGTCTTTTGCATCCGTCCAGACTGCAACATCATCAGGCCCCAATAGCGAGACCAAAAGCTTCTGGTCGGGGGCTGGGGTTAACTTGTAGGCAATCCTAAGGTAAGTGTTGCTCGGAGCCTCGTTCGCAAAGCAACGCCGGCTGTTAGGCTGCAGCTTGAAGACGATTGCCTCCGTCAAGGAAATGGAGCCTAGCAATAAAAGGAGCATCGCAAGCGCGCAGAGTCTTGTCGTCGATATCTTATAAGACATTTTTGGAATAGTGTTAAAATTATTTACCCCCTCCCTAAAGTTTCGTAGAAATATAGCTCACTGTCATTACAGTAATAGATACCATATAAAGGGAGAAAAAAAGATAAAACGGTTCAGGAAAGATTTTAATATTTTTTTGTTGCCATCTCAGGACGGGAAAAGTTGAAGTTGTTGACGTCGTGAACGAGGCACGCAAAACAAAAAAACATACAACAACAATACCGACGACTTTGTATGATCCCATCGGTATAGACATACCGATGCAAAACGGTGAACTAGACTCCACCTAAGAATGACGTATGAATTCGTCAACAATCCTGGAGTTTACAAATAGATAAAACCTCCAATTATCTCCCTTTGGAACATCACCGATGACGCAAGAAATGTTCTAGGATGCCACATCTTGTATCAGGGATCTGGGTGGGTTACCTAATTCCTGAGTATCCACATATACTGACGACAATATATGTGTGCCCTTCTTCAACTCGTTGGTTTCAAAGCTGAGGGTTTGTAAATTACCACTTAAATCGTGAAATTCCTTGGTATACGTGGTGTAGCCCTGGGTCCCCAGATCGGGGTTATAGTTGTCGTCGTTGTTCAGCGCACTCGTGAAATTTATCAACACTCTGTAAATTAGAAAATAAAAAAGAAACATATATAGCAGCCAAAGAAGTGGTGCGACCACTAATACATAAATGGTACGCACTTTTAAGGTGGTAAAAAAAGTCAACGGCACCCCTAATGCAGCCAGAAATACTAATAAAGCAAAGCCCATTAATAGCCAGCCTCTAAAATAAAAGGTGAAACCCATTTCCTAAGTAGACTTTGAGACAATATACAAGGATAAAAAAAGCTAAAGAGTTCTCCCACATCGAGTGGCCTCATAGTTTTTGGTCAACTCCAATAACCACATGGGCATTGCGATCTAAGTATTTTGAATATCTCATTATGAGGCAAGGGAACACATATAACCACATAAGTATAAGTATAGCCTCAAGTTGCGAGTAGCGATTACGACTCCTAGCATTCCTACCAACACAATTGTTGCTATTCTGTTTATGGGTAACGACAGAGTAAAATTATGTATTAGTCTGAAATTCTAACACATCTTCCATATACACCTCTACACGCTCATTAATTTGAAAGAAAAACTGAAAAAAATAGAAAAAAACACTTTAAAGAAAAAAGAATATGTTCAGTTAAAAAAACATCACATCACATCAATAAACAGTTATTAAGAGCTCAACATAATGAAATCCACAAAATTTAGAATGTTTGTGCCAAAAGTGAATTTTCTAGTATATATTTTCTTCCTAAAATAAAATACCCTAGATTACATCACTTAAGAGTGTTAATGGTGCGAAAGAACAACATGGATGATAATCAGCGTTGTATATATATATATATATATATATATTACCTGTGGGATAATAAATACTCTCGCGCAACCATGAACCCACGCTCGTTAGTGGGATAACCAGCTCCTATTGGCAAGACACCATCGAAAAAGTCTCTGTACACCTCCAGAGCCTCTTTCCCAGTCGACACAACCCACGGAACAGTCGATAGCCATTCTGAGCCCTTTATAGTCCTGCTGCGGTAGTTCTCACGAAAGCGAGATGATATCTTGTTAGTCCAGTACTCAACGGTACCGAACAATATAATAGGAGTAGGGGGCACAGCACCCACTTTGCGATTCACTTCTTCTAAGGCATACTCAAAGTCGGTACCGATTCCACCAATCAAGAAAATGGGGAAGTCCAAGTTAAAGTCAGATTGTCGCTCTACTAAATTACTGCATCGATAGGTGAAGAAGGATTCCACATAGGCGTTCTGAATCTGTTCATTAATGTTCGACCCCGGGACGGAAGCTGCGCTGCGAAAGTCAACAAGCAAGCCACACGACAGGATACCAAGAGACTTGGCGACACGATTTCCAACCTCCATCGCCCCAGGACCTCCCCCCGTCACGAGCGCCAATGGCTTCGCTGGATTCAGAAGCGGATGCTTGCACACCTTTTTGATTTGTAAGATACCGTTGAGTAGATAGATGAGTTCGGCTTCAAAGTCGCCGGCGACTAGGTTGGAACCATATACTCCGAACAATGTAGCATTCAAGTACTCGTGACGGCGCTCCAAAGGTACAAACTGGCCGGTATTGCGGTTAGGCCGACGAATATACTGATATACTTCGCCCTTAGCCTCGTCAACGTTGAAAACGGAAATACCGAATGTGGTGAAGTCCCCTAAAAGGGCGACATCCTCTTGGCTGAAAAAGCCTCCGTACTGCCGAGAGGGCTTGCAAAAAAAAATTGCCCGCAGCTTATTACACACGGCACGGGAAAGAATAAGAGACTTGAGGCAGGGCGAAGGAAAGTACCGCGTGACGAGAACCCCGTCGCTGGTGATGTCATCGCTGGCAATGGCGGAAAGAATCGAGTATTCGCACTGTTGGTAAATATAATTCTCCAGAAGTCTTCGCTGTTGATCAGGGTTAAACCACTCAGCATACTTTGTTTTCTTCGGATCTGAAACAATCCAATCGTGTTCAGTCATCTCATGAAACTGGCCTCCTTTACACAGGTACGCACAGCATGGCTGGTTGCCTTTTGGGGCTTTCTTGAAAACATGCAAAATATCCGCAGGGTTGGCACAACGGGATGCGAGTGTTTTCCTTAAGGCGAATGGAACCTGTTCCCGATACGACTCCAAGGTAAAAAATTCAATGGGAATACGCGTCAGCTCCGTGGTGGATGTGCCATAAAAGACAAACGTACGATCTCGTGGGGAATGGTACGAGTACCGATCCTCCGGCTCGATCACGCGAGAGCCCATGGAGTGCAACCCTTCCGGCAGATATTCATCCACGACGCGGCCAAATAAGGTCCGAAAATGCATGGCGTATCCTCGAACCATGAGAACAGATCCGGGCTGGCTCACACGCGTGTGCCCATCGTTGAATTGTTGATGGAGTCGTACAAGATCCTTGTACGGGATTCCTTTGCGCAAGGCCATGCCAATGGTAGGCAAAAGCTCGTGTATTTCCCCTGTGAACGTAAATACCCCTGGGAGGACAGGTAAAAAGGCAATCACACGATTATCGATCATTTTGATATCCCAATCCAGCTGATCATTTTGGCCATACATCAACAAGCGTTGACCTTCTGGATTAAATTCATCTAACAATCGGGTAATATATTCGGGGTTACTTACGACACGATTACGCTCGTTAGCAAAAAGCTTGCCTATTAACGCGCCGACCGAAATATTGTCAAGTGCAAGAACCGCAAGCGGGGAGATTGCAATAAGATCAAGTTTGATCGTCGCAACAAAATTGCTGCGGTCTATATTTATCTCCACATTATCCGAGTTCACACCTAGCTGTGTGATCGAAGAACGAAGAACAAACTCACACTCGACGCCCTGGACTAAACCGCGAAATTTTGGATGGATAGGATCCAAAATCGCCACAACGTGGACAACTTTTCGATCTTTACGAACGCAAGATGTAATCTCAACGTCCTTTGTAGCTAGATCATATGGGTTCCTGAACTTTCCACGTGCGTAGCGATAACTTTCCCCAGATACGTAGTGGATAACCGAATCAGGATACCACCGACATGATTCACTCGGCATTTTCCCCAAGTTGCTTGTGACTGATGTTAATATTTTGCCTTTAATTTGCTAGAAACTACGAAATGAATAGTGTGCCAAAAAAAAATTCTTTGGTGTTAATTTGACATTAGTGAAAAGATTTGATAAAAAATTAGGAAAGTGTAGAGGTGCAGAAAGAATGCTCTCTCATTCCTTAAGTTTCTCCTTCCAAAAGAATAAAGGCGTTACTCTTCTAAGCTTCATAGAAAGGAAGAGGAAGTTCCACAAATCCCATTTAATCGTAGTGTAAATACTTTTTTTATATGTTACCCCACACCCAATCATTTTATACGCATGTACGTGTTTGGAAATGTGGAAAAAAAATATTAGAATGTTAGGGAGAAGATCATCAGCGACGATGGCGAGCATTCTTTCCAGGTCTTTTGCTCTTACCGCCAGGCTTTAAATTTCTTCGATGCGGATCAGCCTTGTGGCGCTTAGAAGGAGCTTCTCCATCCTCATCGTCATTGTTTAAAATATCCCGCATGGCCTCATCGCCTCCCTTCTTTTTCTTCCAATTACTTAGGCGCTCCTGCATATCTCGCTTATGCTTAGCTCTCTGACGGAGCACTTCCGCTTGGACCTCCTTTCCATACTTCTTCTGGTCCTTCATTGCACGTCGATGTGCTTGCGATTCAATGCGAGACTTTGTCGCCTCCATCGCGCGGCGCACATTATTCATGTGTACATCATCCTTGAACATCTCCGCGTAGTAATCGTCTGGACGCTTCCATGGGACGTTTGCAAGCTCTAACAAGGAGATACCTTGAATGACCGAAAGAAGGGTTTGTTGGATAAAGGCCTCCTCACGCTTGGGATCATCATCGGCGTTCAAATCGGACGGCAAAGAACGGGTCGAGGTAAGAGCCATACGCTCCACCCATTGCGCAGGCTCGTTTATTTCAACCGTTTTAGGTTTCTCCTCCTTTTGAGTGTCAACAACAGACTCGTCCACGGAAGCAGGCCTAGATTCGTTGGACTCTGAAGCATCAGATCCCCCCTGGCTTTCGTGCTCCTGGGATAAGTCGACGGACTCCTCCTCTGAGGACTCCTCCATTTTCGCTGAGCGAGCAGCCCTAAGCCGCTCCTTTTGCTTCATTGCTAAATCATAGAAACCCATCGCCTGTGTGGTGGAGAGAATGTAGGAATTGATCTTACTTGTTCTTCCGTCTACCCAATTTAGCACTTCTCAATCGATTAGAGAAAAGGGGAAATACAAAATAATGATGTGCCATAAAAATGGAAAACATATTTCGGAAACTCTATTGCAAGACAGAATTCTTGCTTTCCTTAGGAAGGGGGTGGGGAAATGATGTACCTGTACACTGAACAGTTAATTTACATCGAAACACTGGATATCCTATCCTATCTAGTGTTCTTATTCAAACCATAAAAGTAATATCACGCCCTTAGGGAAACTGTGTTGTTCTCCAAGTAAGCCTCATAAGTGCTCGTGATATCCTCGTAGCGCTCGGCCATGCGCATCAGAAGATGCTCAAGGTTTTCTATTGCCTTTTCTTTTTCAGATACCAGGTCGTGAACCTTTTCCCCTAGTCTCCGAATATCTTCCTCACTCAAGTTGGCCCTCTTCAAAAAGTCGGTGAGCTTTGCATCTCTGCCCTCCAATTGAGATTGAACAACTTCTAATTTCTTCTGCAACAGAACCCGCCGGAATGTTAACTTCTTCTGAATGTCCTGAAGCATCTGATTGTATTTTTTGAGAATTAAATCGCGGTCCTCAACAAGCTTTGCGTAACGCTGGCTGAGTACCTCGTGCTCCCAAGAAAGCTTCTGGAGTTCTTGGTCCGTCTCTTTTGTCTTCGCTTTCAAGATTAGCAATTTTTCCTTATCCACATGGTAGTTCACTAGCTCAGCCTCCAGCTCTTTCTTTCGACGCTGCAAATCAATGAAAGGTACCGTTAGCTTTTTATTTCGATAAGCCACCTCATGCATCGCCTTTTCGTTATGTGCCTCAGTACGCTTTCGAGCAAATACCTCGTCTTTCAGCGCGCGGATGGTTTCTAAATTATTGGAGGTAATCTCCCGGAAATAATCCTTAACCTCCTTGAACGTTCGATCATGCATCTCCCGTAGCTCAGCGACATGCTGTTCCTTTCGTTTTTCTAGTTGACGAATTTCCTCGATCCTCGCGTGATCCATTTCCTCACGAAGGGATTTAAGCATTTGTTCGTACTTTAGATGAGCTTTTTTGCACTCATGCTCAAATCTAGCTTGCTGCTCCGATATATCTTTGTCTTGTTGCGCCGCCAACGTCATTCGCTGCTCCATTTGACGAACCTCCATCTCTCGATTAAGCAATTTCACGTCCTTTACATCCCGCATCGCGTCACTTTCTATTTGACGATACGCCTCCTGCTTTTCTACTAAGGCGCGCTCAGCTTCTTCTCGTGAAGAAGATAACTGGAGTTGGTTTTCGTAAAGCAAGTGCCTTATTTTCTGCTCAAAAATCTTCTTTTCAACCTCGTGTCGATCCATCATCATTAACTTCTCCTGGTTCTTCTCCCGAAGCCGTTCCTTGACGTCATCGAGCTGCTTTTTCGATATATCCCAGAATGCAGCAATGCGGTCACGCTCCAACTGGAAGTAGTTCCGCATCGCTTTGGTTTTCTGCAGCGAATCCGTTGCGAGCCATATACTTTGACCATCTACCACAGCCTCGGTGGCCGTCCCCTCAGCTTTAGAAGACTTTGTGGAAGCTGCTCTTTGTGAAGAGGCTGCGCCAGAACTTCTTGCCCTCACTTTAGCATTCTTGTCAACTCCTGCTTTGGGTGGCATGGAAGCTTATTGGCAGTGGTAGGTTGCTTGTATGCCTTTAATACTTCCTTGAGAAACACAACAAGATGAAGTAAACAAGAAATAAGAAGTATTATGTTCATATTGTCACCTAACTAGCATTGAAATTAGAACATAAATTAATAAAGAAGAATTATTTACTCGTCGGTGAAAAGAAATCAAATTATATCTCAATTATTGGACTCGTCATCTGGTGGTGCAATTAGTGCATCCCAACTAGTGTTCTCGAGGATGTAACCTTGAAAATGACGATCCGTGTATTTCAAAGGAGAACTACCATCAGAGTATCTCCGTTGCACTCCAATGTACTGATTAATGTAGTAAAACAAAATATCGTCGACTTCGCCAGCGTAAAGAGTTTCATCGTCATGTACCTCGGAGTCTCCGGATTTTGTCGTCTTGTTTTTGTTCATTTGTATCACGTATTCACGAAGAGTATAATAAATCGCCTCTACGGTCGCTAGATAAGTTGGGTCGTTGTTTTGGAAACGCCAAAATAATGAAGTCTGTGCTTTTATCCGTACACGCTTAAAATGCTTCAAGCGACTGTCGTGAGCAATAGATTTACTCTTCTGCCAAGTGCTTTCCACAAAGACTACGTTTTTGTACCTCTCTAAGTGTTCCACCGCATTTAGCTCAACACTATCGTTGCTTGGGTACAGCACTAATGTGTTTTCTGGCTCCAGATCTGTTGGGATCTCTGGGTATTCAATAATATGCAGGTCAGGGGAAATAGTTGATGCAGCAATACTGGTACTCTTTGAACGCAATTCCCCAGGGTGTAAAATGACAAACACGTTTAAAGGAAGAGAAAGTGCTTTCGGATGACTTTCTGGATGCGTGACCGTTAAGCAATCATAGCAGTAATACAAGCGTCTTTTATGGCACTTTGGACACGGACGGCGTTCATTTTGTTCTTGCAAACGGCATAACGGAACGGAAAAATGCAATTTTTTGATAAAATTCTGCACCTTGGTTGCTCGTTCACTGGCAGAATCCTCGTAGACATCACGGGCACGTTTCATTGATAACAGCTAGTTTGAAAGTAAATAATAAAAGAAAAAGAAATAGTTGATAAATATACGAGCTCTTTGCAGAAGAAAAGCGCTAATCTACTTCATTTACACGTATGGAATCGAATTACCAGATTGATTTCTATACTAAAAAACGAACACAGTGAGCTCTATCGTGTATATATATATATATACATATATATACGTTCTATGATTATTGGAGAGGTGACCGCTTAGAATTTTTTATGGTTAAATAGAAAGTTGTGGCGCTTGCTTTCAAATACTTACTTTAAGTTACTCAGAATACACTCGCCGTCAGCAGGCGTGTACCACAAGAATGTAGTATTCACTGAAAAGGAGCCAGGATTGACTACGTGAACGTCTTTATAATAACATTCCCATTGTAAAGTTGAGTCGCATAGAATAAGTGTGTGGGGAAGGACAGGCAGCCTTAACGAATCGTCGAGTTTCCACAGTATGGGCTCCTCCAAGTCAGGTGCCAGATGTCCTTCGTCAATGACCGTTTTAGAAATTCGCTCGAATGAAGTGGTTTGTGGTTCAGCGACATCGCCCACATTCTGGTGGTGTTGTTCCCAATCAAAGCATCGCTCACCATCATGGAATGCACGGAGGTAATCTCTCCGTGAGACAACTATTTCATGCGTGAAAAAACGAATACGGCATGGGTTAGGTGCCAAGATAACTTTTTTTAATTTGTTTCTTAGGCCTTTAGTGGCACTCTTCGTAAGAGGGTGCTGAGGTAAAAAGCCTTGAAGCGCAGTCAAGTCGGTGGGGCCAGGAATAAAAACAAACTGGCTGTGCTGTGCCGCAGTGGGTGCATAAGAGGCAATGCATGTCCCTAAATTTTCAAACAGATGCTGAAAGGTTTCCTCCCCATTGGCTGAACTAAACAAATGAGAAACATCTCCATAGGAAAGAGGTGTTGAGGTAAAATTGCCGATGAAAATAAAAGTGGTCTCTAAAAGATCTTGCTCTCCACGGTCTTGCATTTTTTCGAAGAAATAGACAAGCTGAGACATCGTAGTTGGTCTATCCAAGAAGACGTGTGCGATAAAGATAATTACAGAACGGTATGAGATCTTCTCTGATGCTATCGCGTTTTCCAAGTTTGTTGGTGACAACCCGAAATAATCCAACGACGGTGTAAGGAGCTCGCGAGCCAACACGCGCTTTTCCGGGGGAGGTAAACTGATACACGTGACTCGTAGGCCATGATTATAGAAACCTGTTGCGACAACAAAGAAACCGCTGCAAATAAAGTTGTGAATATTAAAATTATAGCAATCAAATCGATCTAGTTTAACTTGGCCATTCAAATCCTCCAGAAATATATCTTGTCCTCGTTTTCTAATTAGTCCAAGTACAGCAATTTGTAAATCAGGATTCATTCCCTCTAAAGCCGTTGTCGGAACTAACGGTAAGAGATCCTCTCCAACAAGACGCTGCTTTAAGTCACTGCGGTAAATGCCGCTTCTAAGGCACCGATGATAAGCCATTAAATAACGTTGCTTCATTACACCAAGTCGATTACCTTCTACTGCACCTGGAACCTCTTTCATCTGACCTGTTGCCTCATCAACGATAACCTTTGGTATACTTTCAAGTGGAACTATTTGCACAGACGAAGTAGTGCTTTTGTCAACGGTACCTTTTATCCGACTCATCTGCATGCCTATAACTGAATCTATTTTTTGTTGATCAATAAACCGGTCTTCAATGCATTTCTTTTTGAGGAGGACAAAAAGGTCCCGTAAAAGAGATCTTGAAGTCTCCCCATCGCAATCTAGTCCTTTCAGAAACTCAGAAAGCCTTTTAAGAGCAAAAGGATGTAGTCGGTACTGATATGCCCTTGCGAGTTGTTGTATCTCGTTTCTAAAATCTGACATTCATCTAAATTACTGCACTATGCTACGATATATTCAATTTGTTCATCTATATGTTTCAGAGAAAAGGATAATTTAATGAAGTATATGCAGAAAGACAAAAAAAATACAGAAAGAAGATCAAAGGCCAAATTCTTAATAATAAGAATTCATTCGCAGACCCTCAAGCACCATATATGTATGAATGCTATGTTCCTAACAAAGTGCTGCTCGAACAACAGCGATGCGAGGTCGAAAAGCTAATGTAACCAAAAGCAAACACAAAGTCGAAAAAAACTAACACGTCAGTCCTTTCTTCTTACTGGTTTACTCTTTCAATAAACTTCTTCAACCTACCAATCTCCTGAAGTAATAATTTATTCTCCTCATTGGACTTCGAGATCTCCTGACGCAATTTTGAGATCTCCTCAACTAAATGCTGATTACGCTCGTGGATCCGATCACCTCGATATTTCTCTCTCGAAAGCTGAAGTTCGTAATTGATCAACCCTTTAGCCACTTCCTCACTAGACGCCTTGGATTGATTTGACTGTGATGATTTTTTTTTATCATGTTTTTCTTCAAGGTATTGTTTTATAGTTTCCTCAAGTTCAAGGGTTCTTTGTTGATTAGCATCCGCTCGTTGAATTTCATCATGTAAGCTGCGCAAAAGTACATTATTGAGTAAATAGGTTCCTTTTGCATCTTCTTGTATACTAAAACAATAAGTTCCAAAAGCGAGTGTAATACACCAAGCAGCAATAACGCTAGCTTTAGCCATAGGCGCTAGCCACCATGCACGAAGCCTGTTAATCGGAGAAGAAGTATCTCGCCAAGGTGTTGAGTCACCAGGAGATTGTCGATGTGTTCCCTCATGAAAAGTCGAGTTTGCGTATCGATGCATTTCTGGGAAATAGCTTTGATAAAATCTTGAACTTTTCCTCATTTCTATGTGAAGAAAAAAGTTCACAGTTAATGTATTAGTAGCTAGACCTAAAAAACATGATAACGATAAAAAAAAAATAGTAGCCTGAGGGTTAGAACAAATACTTAAATAATCTATTCGCCATAAGCCTATAAATAGGTATATATTTATTTTGTTTATATTCACGATCAACAGTAGAAAAAAATCATTGTATAGATTTCTCATTTTCAACCTATTTAGCCTGACTTCTTTGCTGATTCAATAATTGCGTTTAAAAATGCAAGAACACCAGAGCCGTTTGCCGACAAATTATTTGCCCGACACAATTCCCTGAAGGCTTGAGGGTCCTTAAGAGCAGCTCCAAGAATGCTAGTTGCCCTAGTAATATGAGAGCTCTGCAGTTCTCTTTTTATCTCCTTTGGATCCCAAGTTTCACCCTCGGGAAGATGTTCTTTAATGCGTTCATAGTAAAACTCAGGTTCTTCAAGAAGAGCTTCAGTAATTTGCGATGACTGCAATAATTTTCTAAGTGAAATATCATTGTTGTTTGATGAAATAGATGAAATAAGCCTCTGTAACTCAGCAAGTTGAATAGTTCTTGGGGCAGTTTTTGAACTATCCTGCTTTGGAGCTAGTGCAGTTTTAATACTCTCGAGGTAAGTATTGTCCTTCTCTGTTGACTTATCTTGAAGCCAAAAAAAAAATTGTCCTTTATGTGCACCCTTGTTGATCGTAAAAAGCATAACTCTTCCAGTTGTACACTGCTCGACAAACTCCACTTCAGTCTCTCCTTTTTTTATAGGAAGAGATACATCAAGATTAGTTCCTTCACCTGACCAAATCATTTCGATTACGTCAGTTCCGTCGTCTATAAATGACAAGTACCCCCTGGAGTTACAAGGAGACACAACTCCGTCCTCGTAAGTCATGGTACCTGCACGGAATTGCAGAAAAGGAGTTTTCCAGAGCTTAGGTTGAGGAAGCATTGTAAATAATGATGCTAGATAATAATAAAATCTAAAGAAAAAAATGAGTTCATAAAATTGTTTTTTTTAAGTTCATTTTTTATTAAACACCACTATAAATGCGAATGCATATTACACAGGGACAGACGATATAGCCTAGTCGAAAATTGGGTTGTGCATATCAAAAAAAAAAGAAACGCAAAATACAAAGGGATAATTCAGCAATTACCTCAACATTTCTAAACACAAAACATTAAGAAAATCCTTTATAAATATTCGAATATTTTTGCTACAGTCTGCAGTCAGTCTAAACACAGCTACTACTACTCCTAGTATCTAGGTGATAAAAAAAAAATATGATCCGAAGTCCTAAAATTCCACACTTTCTCGACATAAAAATTCAACCTCCAGAAATGACGCTTATTAATATGAAGCCTGTTTCACGGAGCCTAATTTAAGCTCAAATGGTAGCCAGTCCAATGGAGTTGGGTCGCGGTACGTCATCGGACCCATGGGGTTCGCCATTTGGACGGATCGCAATCTTGCCCACCCAGGTATCGGTGTTAAGCAACGATCCTTGACATCCTCGTACGTTATATGTTCTGTCATCAAAACCATATCTCGATATTGATAATAGGTACCAGTAATTGTGATTGCAACAGCGATAACAAAGCAGGAAAACGTACACCCTATAGCTGGATAAACTCGTCCACCAAAAATAAAACCCCATTTTTCCTGAGATCCAGCGGCACTTGAGAAAGTACCATGTTCAGTTTTAACGTTTCCTAATTGAAGTCTGGTAGCTTTTGAAAGCATTGGTGCCAAATTCACCCTTGAAAGGCGCATTTCTAATCGTTGCTACTATTTTCCTTTTGATATATATATATATATATATACCGAGCAACAGAACTAATATGTTGCAGTGCCTTTGTTGTTGTTGTTATTTTTTAAAAAAAAAAGAGAGAATTAAAAATAGAATATTTTTTTTGTTTCCTATTACTGGTAATTTATCTAAACAATATCACCCATTTTCTCCCGAAGCTCCCGTGACTATAATCAAGTTTCGCTTTTGTAATTCCTTCAAATCAAAATATTTAAGTGAATGTGCCAAAACATATCATTAGATTTTGGGAATATTCGAGTCATTTAGACTAATTAAATCTTACTAATTTACCTTTAAGGAAAATCAAAGCATGTCGAGCACGTCTAGGGGATGCATACAAAACTACGCATTCTCAGACTTTTTTATACATTAAAAGAGAAAAAAAAGGTCCTGTAGTTAGGAATTAATATATTCATCACAACTCTTCAATATCATTAGCAGTGCAACTTTTTCAGGATACAGTAAAAAAAAATCACAACAAAAGCCTACCCCAATAGCCATTAGCTCAGGAAGGAAGCTGAAAATTCACACCATTTCCCTTAACCCCTATAGGCGGGGCCTGCGGTGAGAAACCTTTGCAAGTGCTCCGCCCAGCATTCCTACTGCCTATTAAGGGAATGTGTAGCAAAACATCAGGAAAGGTCGTAAAAAAAAAAACATTATAAATAAAAAAAATGAATAGATTGCAGCATGAGATAGGCTACCATAGCGGCAAAGCACGGGGGGGCACGATAGGCACAGGCCCCCACTAGCTGAGGAAAATTTTATCTTCCCCACGGCCTCTGCTTATTAAAAATTTTTCGACTGTGATGTTTTAACCCCAAATGCGTGGTAGAAAAGCTACACACCTTCCCATTTGATATTTTTTATTATTACAATGCATGAATTGAATTCGAGGTCACTCACAATTTCGATGTTTTATAGCTTCGATTTTTTCCCCCTTGGGGGGGGTTTCCTTTAGCCCCTCCCCCTGGGCATGCCCCGGTTCTTCATAAAAGGGTCAAACGTAAAGTATCCGGGGGTAATGAAGCTTGAACCAAAGATAATCAGATTGAGATTTCGATATTCAAATCAGAAGTGTGAGTTCGAAACCGAAAGAAGGAGTGGCTTCAGCACTGCCTCGACAGGGGCTCATTGCATTCCCCCCATCCTTTTGCATTTTAATTAAAATAGAAGCAAAAGGTACCAATACCTGTTTCGTTATATTTTTTGCTTTAGCCCCGACTTTTATCGGTGCTCAAAATTTTTCCATAAGTTTAGATATACCGATTTACAAGCTTATTATTCGCCTGCAACTGAAAGGGTCTGTGGCTTGGATATCTGACCCGGCGATCTTCCCAAGGAATGTGAATTCTGTTTTTCAAACTGTCAAACTTTACTTATAGGAATGCTTACAGAATCTACAGTTAGTCTATCAGTGCGCCATCCACTGGTATCTTGTGTTTTCCAGATTAATATGGATTTACTTGTAATCCGAAGGAACTAGGGTTATGAGAATTATTTGATTCCAACGCCTTGGTTGTAGACTTTTTCTTAATATTTTTGATATTATTACGTGAAATACAGGAAGCTGTGTACACATTTTCCACACGCTACAGCAAACAGTGTGTTCGACATCAAGTTACTACGTTTTCATAAAATCGTTGTCCCGCAAGTAGGTAATTTTTGTCTAATAAAGGCTATGGACAACAATAAAGAGGTTATATCTCTCGCTGGCTTTTTTTGCCGGGTGATGGACAACCCATGCATCTAAACAATCTTTTTTCACCCTCTGAGGAAATCTTGACTTGTTTGCAATAATGTTTCTCTAAGGATGGTAGGAAGATAAAAATGTATCGTTCATGAGTTGCGTATGTAAACTTGTCGACATAATGAACAATAGTAAAGGCACAGATATCTTCTACTTGGACTAAGATGTGTAAATGACAAACACTAAATTAGAGTCGTGAAAAGTAACAACAGTGTAGTAATGTGTTCCTAAAAGGTGATGTCTATGCAATAGTCTTGTTTTAGTGATGCAAAGTGTTCTCGGAAATTTATTCTGATACAATGAAGATTTAATTTTCTTCGCTTTATTGGGAAAAAAATTTTCCCATTACAATATTCAAGCGGGCATGATATGTTATGTGGCTTTCTTTATCGAAATCTAAATACCTTTGCGCCTGCATGAAAGGTTTTCAATTGTGATCAAGTTACTTCAAGTTTGGTGAATCAAAATAATTTGCACAATGTAGTTGCAACAGCTTGGTGTGGTGCCGTCTTTTTGATGACTTTCGTAAATAATCGTATATTTTGTGTTGTAGAATTATTTGTTACACAAAGAAACAAATAATACCTAATGCTATTTTAATCTGCTATGGTTTCATCGTCAGGGTCAACTTTGTTGATGATGGGTATTTTTTTTACGACTATTCTCTTTTGAACCAAAATCACTCGTGTATACGTTGACTTTCCCGTTTATCCGCAAAGAAGAACTCATTCACTTATATTTTCGGCCAAAAATACTTAGTCAATATTGTCTTACATTTTATTCGGTGATATTCCTTTCGGAATAACATTAACAATAGTAAGTTTATATTGGTGTAGATACTTATTTGCCTATATTGTTCTCGATTAAGCCTACAAAGTATGTCGGAAATCGAAGAAGCATTCCAACGTATCAGCCAGCGTCCTAATGTGGCAGGAATCATTGTTGTAGATAAAGAAGGAACACCTATACGTAGTACTATTGAAGATACCGTAGTGCAAAACCAATATGCCCATCTTATTACAGCGCTGGCAGCTAAAGCTCGACACTGTGTTCGCGATTTAGATCCGACAAATGATCTCTCGTTTCTTCGAATTCGAAGCAAAAAAAATGAGATCATGGTTGCACCTGACAAAGATTTTTCACTTATCGTCATACAAAGTCTTACCGACAATGCATGATGGGCCTTAAGCATATGTACCCGCGTATTATTATGATGTATATTTAAAACTATAGTGGTAATTTTATGCGTGTAATTTCTCTCATAATCGAGAATTATCGTTTAAAGTTATGCGCTGATGCTCTTCTACTCTCTCTCCATCCCTCTGCGCATTTCTTACACCTCATTGTTTATACTTCTAGTGCGTGGATTTACTTTATCGGATTGATCATGCTTGACGTCTATCGTGTTGCTTTGAAAGTCTTTTGGGATGATTCAATCATCAGTGAATCGTTCCTGCCATCAGAAGCGTCATTGGCAAAGTGTCCCTTTTCACTTTCAGATTTAAGTGCAATGCCCGGCAAGAGAAAAATAGAAGTTCTAAAAGAGTGCGGTATACACCCTTATGTTTTCCCAATTTTTCTCCGATCCATACAGCACTTAACTACTCTTAAAAAAGCGGGCAATTTGGCAAAAGGCAACATGGTTCATAGGCATTTGGAAACGCGACACTGGAATTCTCTTAGTTACAGCTCTTCACTCATTGGCTGTCCTAATGTTGACAGTAAGCCTTATCATGAAAGATTCAGTGACATAGTTCCACAGAAAACAACGGAAGATAAACAGGCTGAGACATCAAACTCAAATATTTCTGTCCACTATAACGGGTTAATGAATCAGGGCGCAACTTGTTATCTGAACTCTCTCCTCCAGTCACTTTTCCACATTTCTGCCTTTCGGTCAATCATTTATCAGATGCCTACAAAGGAGGAGTCGATAGAGCTTAGTCGGACGTATCCGCAGGGCACAAAATCAATTCCGTATGCGCTTCAACGCCTATTCTGTATGCTTCAGACAGCAACTGAAGCAGTAAGTACGACTGAACTTACAGAGTCTTTTGGCTGGAGTGAAGCCGATAGTTTCATTCAGCATGACGTTCATGAATTAACACATGTTTTGCTAGAAAATCTTGAAATGAAATTAGATTCACAAAGTGCATCGTGCAATACGGATAAAAATGTAAAGCAAAATGCCATTCACGAACTATTCAATGGTTTGTTGGAAAACTACATTGATGTTGACGAGGTAGAATATCACGGAGCACGCGAAGAACCCTTTTATGATCTACAACTTGTTGTAAAGAACACCAGGGATATATACGCAAGCTTTGATCGTTTTTTCCAAGCTGAGGTTCTGGATGGGAAAAACAAATACTGCTTGGAACGAGACGGGCAGAAAAGATATTATCGCGCGACGAAAGGTGTTAGGTTAAAGGCGACCCCACTCATCCTGTTACTGCATCTGGCACGCTTCGATTATGACGTTGTGCAGGGTGAGATGAAAATATTTTCACGTTGGGATTATTACAGTACGTTGGATCTTTCTAAATATATGCCTCATGTAAAACCTGCTGATACACATTATACATTGTGTAGTGTATTGGTTCACTCAGGTTCTAACACAGGATTTGGTCATTACTATTGCTTTTTGCTTTGTTCTGGTGAGTGGTACAAGTTCAATGATGGTACCGTAACACCTGCGTCTTTGAAAGATGTTTTTGGGGATAATTTTGGAGGTTATCACACCAATTTTTGGGGCTCGGAAGAACCCCAAATAAGTACAGCATACATGCTCGTGTACATTCGAACAAGTCAAATGGATTCCTTATTACGTCCAATAGGCCCTGAGGATGTACCTAAACACGTAATTGATCAGCTGCAGCGTGAGAAGCTCGATCAAGAAAGAATTAATAAAGAAAAAATGGAAGACTATCTTTGCGCGCACGTTCAGTTTCTTCAGCCAAGGGACTTGATGGCAAAGGGGGAGTTTTCATCTTCACGCCGTTCATCCTTCCAAAAACAGCCATCGCATAGAACTTTGCGTGTTCTTTTGGAAGCGGAGGCTCTCCCAGAGTTCATTTCTTTTGTGGAAAAAATATTCAATATTCCGGAAAATGATCAGCTCCTTTGGTATGCTACTTTACCATCTCACGGCAGCAATCATGACATGTATGTCCAACTGAAGCCACATATTAAAGTTAAGGAAATATCAAAGGGCTCGAACGAATGTTACATTTTAGTAACATCGCTTACGAGTGATTCGCTTGTAATCTCAGAGGACGAAAATTCCGAATATCAGTTATTTCACCATAAACTGTATGATCCTTTGCAGTTGAAAATCTTTTTTATCGGAAGCACCGTTGTCCGACGCAGTACAGAAGAGGATGCCAAAATATCCATTGAAAAAATAGGAAAACGGGTTCGCGAAATGATTGCAATACTACCAGACGATTCAAAAAAGAAGTACAAACATCATTTACAGAAGCACCACCAAGCGCAACGCAATCTGAAATCTTCAGCTAGCGTTGAAGTCTTCAAATGTGCGAACTCTGTTACTGATGGTGTTTGTGAGGACGCTGACGAGGGAGGAGTGAACCCACTTCGCGGGATGCCCACTGGGAATTTGACTGTTGTTCGAGAAGTTGATAATCATAGATACTCTGAATGCAACATATTGCTTTCGGGTGATGTATTAGTCTGGCAATTGGAAATTTCCGCCAAGGATAAGGACGATGCATTCTATCCGGATGTGGAATCATTCCAACATTCTTTCCGACATTGTATCCCAGTAGAAATACGACTCAATCAAGCACCTTATTATCCCACTTTGGTGAGCACCGAATTAGGAAGCAGCATGACCTATGAGCAGCTTCAGCGTTATGTTGCCCGGATGATTGGGGAATCTGATAACTATGATCATGTTCGATTTGTACGACACAACCCAGAAACTGAATTGCCGTACTTCATGAAAGCGAAAAAAAAGTCTAGACCGACGCTTTCAATGCTTTTAACACCAGCTTCACATTCGATGGAATACTTTTCCAGATATATTTATTACGAGTACTGCAAGTTTCCTGTAACCCAAATTGAGGCATCCCACTCTTTGGAATTTAAACTCTACAATGATAATGTCAAAGCAATCAGTTCCCATTGGGTGCTAATGTCTCGCGAATCACTCATCAAGTCTGAGAGTATTTTTAGAACGTGTGTTAAAGAAATCCAAAAGGACTATTCCACGGGTGCAGCTTGCAAAGTCCAAAACAGAGAAGATGGGACAGAAGCTACTTCGACTGAAGGTTTCTGCAACTTTATTATGAATCTCGACCCCGAGGAAGCGTGGAAGGTGTTGAGACTTGTTGACGTGTGGAAAGGAAGGATTTACAACGTTCTGGAACGTGATCACGCTCTTATTTTGGGTCATCAGACCTTTGAAGAGAGCTCTGAATATCGTATTGAACGAATTCCTCAACCAATCCCTGGTAAACCATTTGAAGAACAGTTTCTGGTACAGGTCCATCACTTCACTTTGAAACGCCAGCGAAAGGATCCGGTGGAAACATATGGTGAACCTTTCAGCTTCTACGTACTGAATAAGGAATTGCCAAGTGAATTACTCCGTCGAATTGCATACAAACTGGAAATCAACTTCGCTGCAATTGTTGATTGGAAAGTGTGTCTAGTGAAAGAAAATACTGTGCTTGAAACATCTGAATTTCCTATGGGGATGCAACTTATGCATTTTTGTGCTAAGGAATGTTATGAACCAAATCAAAAAGAACCCGCGAAAGCCGCCTTTGTTGGCTTAGACCACGCGCCAATAACCAAGCGTATACCTAAAAGAGAGGAAAAAATATTGATATTGAATTAGCCCTTTATAGATTTACGTATATATATACTCATCAGTTATCTTTGTCTCTTTTTTCAAAATGCATTGATTTTCTGTTAGTATTATCAAATCATGATTCTTTATTATGTGTTCTCAGGGAGAAGAGAGGGGGAAAGAATTCCAAGATATGCATATTGTGTGGAGTTCATTGGTTAAAGCATTTGCTTAACTTTATCTTATTGTTTGAATTTTTGTATCCCTTGTAATGCAGCGTATATTAGCAATTAGGATAATAAACTACATATTGACTTATCGAGTGATGTCAGAGTCCTTTGAAGTAGCAGAGGGTGAGCATCGTTACTCCCGAGTCAATGTTAGCAAACCTCGCGAGTACTGGGATTATGAATCGCTTAAGGTAGAGTGGAATAGCCCCGACCGATATGAAGTGGAAAGAAGAATTGGACGCGGTAAATACAGTAATGTTTTCTTAGGCCATGATACAGAGCTATCCAGAAGAGTCTCCATTAAAGTGCTAAAGCCAGTAAAAAAGAAGAAAATCTTGCGTGAGCTGAAAATTCTTCAGATCCTCAAGGGTTGTCCGAACATCGTTGAGCTGTATGACACTGTTCGAGATCCAAGCAGTAAAGTACCATCATTTGTTTTTGAGTACATAGAAGCTTCGGATTTTCGAACCTTGTTCCCCCATTTTTCAGATTTAGATGTCCGGAATCTTATTTATCAGGTTCTCATAGCCCTGGAGTATGCACATTCAAGAGGCATCATGCATCGTGATGTAAAGCCAAATAATGTGTGCATAGATTATAAGCAAAAAAAACTAAGGCTGATCGACTGGGGGTTGGCGGAGTTTTACCATCCAGAAACTTCATACAATGCACGCGTTGCATCGCGCTACTTCAAGGGCCCTGAGCTTCTTATTGAGCTTCCCACATATGACTACCGTCTTGATATGTGGTCTCTGGGGTGCATGATGGCCGGAATTATCTTCATGAAAGAACCCTTTTTCCGTGGTAAAGACAACACCGACCAGTTAGTACGCATTGTGAAGGTTTTGGGTACAGATGACCTTAGGGTATATCTAAACAAGTTCAACCTGAAGTTGCCCTCTTCGTTACTTAATCTGCTGACGAAACAGACCAAAAAACCGTGGTCTCTATTTGTTACGCCTGAAAATCGTCATTTATGTCCGGACACCGCTTTGGATTTTCTGGATAAGCTCCTTCGGTACGATCATACGGAGCGAATTCAGGCGGCAGAGGCTTTGCAACACCCGTACTTTGATCCAGTAAGACCACAAATGGGCTCTGAAACTGGTGATCTTAATCATGATAATTGTGAAGAAAGTGAGCATAATTAATCACTGAAAGGGTTGGGAGTATGTATTTTTACTAAGTTATACAGCTAGTATAAAATTTTTAAAGGTATTGATTATAAAAACGTCAAATTTAGTCGAACACGTAGTTCCCATCCAGCAACCCATCAGAACTTAGCATTGCATGCGTATACGTATCGTACAACCATGATAACTTACTATTGAGCTTTTCTCAGTATAATATTATTTTATTAGAGTGTGTGAAAGCTGCAAATCATAGATATAGATCATAACATGTGTAGGTTCCCCTTATAATATCCACACCATTAATTCACGAGCTATGAGGTAGATTTCAGCGATAAGAAGCTCCACAAGCTTGCCTATAAACATCTGCACTGACAATGTATTTGCCAAAGACGCACATTAAGCTTACCAAATTATCCGTCTTGCTTCTTATTTCTGTCAACGAAAAGAACCGTATTTAGATTATTCTCGCAAATAGTAAGCTGACTATGATTGAGTTAAGGATGGACACATGAACACCGGCGCTTGAATAGTGTGAACGTTGCTTGGCGGGAATATTTTCATCGTCGTATACCTTCTTTTCATACATACTTTACCGGCAATCAATCTTTGATTATTTTATTTCTCGAAATTTTGCTGATAAACAGTGCAGTTTTCGTATTGAGAATATTATCTTGTATTCTGCTGCATTAGAAACTGAACAGAACTCGACCCAATACCATAAGTCCTTCTTACGAAAGTGTGTATGTGTCTTTAGAGAAGGTTGCTTCTAAAAACGGTACTTCATAATCAGCAAAATTGGTAAATCCCCATTCTGAGTATCTTAACATCCTACTGTATTATTATTATCTTATTAATAATTATTCCATTTTTGATTTATATGGCGCTTTGATTTTTGTTTACTTGATCCTTTTCCCCATGATTTCACTGATTGATTGATAGTTTTTTGTTAATGAGTAATCCGTATCTCAATATGCTCATGATAATGATTGTGTTTTTTCCCCTGTTCGATATCTGCGCCGTTGATCATTAGTTTGCCTCATTATATTTAAGTACTTTTCTTTGTCGTTTAAAATAATACGAAGTAATAACAGTAATAACCTAATGCACTCATCAGAAGGTGCAAGCCTTTTTCGGCACAACATTGTGTGCAGCATTTTGGCAAAGAAGCCGCTACATCTGACCAACATTAATAGAGACAAGGATCCTATCGGGATCCAACTGTATGAGGCTAATTTCTTAAAATTTATTGACCGCATCACGAGTGGCTCGACGTTTCAGACCCAAGACCACAACACCTCTTTGGTTTTCACCCCAGGAATGATTCTCGGCGGGGTCTTCTCCCACGAGGTCCCTTCCGCGCGTTGTGTGACCTACCTCCTGGAGGCCGCCGTGCTGCTGCTGCCCTTTGCCAAGTTCGACTCCCGTATCACTTTTGTCGGGGCGACACACGGGGCCCTGGACCTCTCCATCGACACCTTCCGCACCGTCACGACGCGGTGGCTGCGGCTTTTCGGGGTGGAATGTGG